CACAGAAATACATCAGAACAAATTTTCCAGAATTAATTGCTAGAAGTTCAGGTATTTACAAAAATATAGCTTTTATTAAATGTCATGTACAATTTCACAACAAAGCATCGTTTCAAACCGGTCTGGCCTGTACCTGAATTTTTTACAACACAAAATATCACAGATTCATCTTTGCCTGCCATCTACGTCTAAGTTCAAACATACATTCCTTCTACATTCAACTACACCCACCTGTTCCAGAACCCAACCCACACCTACCACTGTCCAGAACAAAGCTATGATGGAAGTATACATCTTTGGCATTCAGGCATTTAAAGCCACTCTAATAATTCTAGTGTCAGCTCTGTGTGTCAAGTATGACATGTTTTCGAGTCCTCCACGCAGCAAGCACAGAGGTACGTCACTACGGTTGTGAGCAAGACGTTAGATGTCACCAATGTCACAAACATCGCATGGCCACCACGTTACGATGTCCAAGTTCACAAACATCGCTATGCACGTTTGTCCCACGTTTTAGATGTCACCAATGTCACAAACAACACATGCACGTTGTCCCCACGATAGATGTCACCAGCATTGCGAGCAATGCACGTACATTGTCACCAGGATAGATGTCACCAATGTCACAAAACAATGCCACGGTTTGTCACCACGCGTAGAGATGTACACCGCATTGCGTCAGCAATGGCACGTACATTTGTCCACCTGGATAGATGTCACCAATGTCTACAAAGCAATGCAGTTACTTTTGTACCAGGATTAGATGTCACAATGGTCACACAACACATGCTCGTGGTGTTCCCACGATAGTGTATCACAGTATTGCGAGGTGCAATGCACGTACATGTCATCCAGGATAGATGTTCACATGTCTACAAAAATGCACGTACGTTGTCACCAGGATAGATGTCTACCATGTCCCACTGAAATGCCTATGCACCGTCTGCTTCGACCAGGATAGATGTCACTCCAATATGTACACAAACAATGCACGTACGTTGTCACCAGGATAGATGTCACCAATGTCACTAACATCGCATGCACGTTGTCACCCTCACAGATGTCAGCGGCGTTATGAACACTTCATGTATGTTGTCACGGTGTTTCCCATTCTCTCGGTCACCTTCCGACAATGCTCCGATCCTGAATGGAGAGAAAATCGGGAAATAAGAAACTTACAAGCGATATCGAAGAAACAGCAATAGCAACGCAACAACGATGCGATGCATTATCACAAACATTATACAATTGAAGCGCAATTATTACTGTTCCGATACAATCCTGTGTATTAAGCTATTATTATTATTATTATTATTATTATATTATACTATTATTAGTAGTAGTAGTTATATACATTGTAATTCATTTACCTGTGGCTTCCCAGGTGTGATGATTGCGACGGTGACGTTGCTGATGCCGTTTTTGTTTGTTGCCATGGAAACCGAAGTTAGGCAGATCGTCCATCATGAAGTCTCCAAAGATTCCATCGTCCATGTCGTCGAAGATTGACTTGAAGTTAAAATCTCCAAACTTGTAACCTTTCTTCGGCACTTCGAATCTGGACAAAACCATAGCGAATTAACATTGAGGGTTAACGCATGCAAAAGGTTATACTAATGCATAAGAATTATTGGTAACAGTGTTCACCTAGTATAAGCTACTTTAACATGTGTTTAATTATCAATCATATAAGGTTAAGACAGGGTTGGGTTTGGGTGAGCGTTGGGCATGAGTTAGAACGAGGCAAAATGGGTGAGAGTTAGGGGGTTAGGGTTAGGGAGAGTGGATGAGGGGGTTAGGGTTAGGGTAAGCTGTTAGTAGTTATAGCTACGATGTGTAGTGACAACGAAGTATACACGGAGGCCCCAGAAGCACGCTTGAGCATGCGCGACCTCGAGTAGATCGTGAAACGGCGAACTTACCTAAAACTGTCCGAGTCAAAATGACTAAAAATGTCTGCAAAGTCGAAGCTGAAATCTCCTGATGTCGGCTGCTGCTGCCGGCTATCTGTCTGCGTGTGTGCCGCATGACCCATGCTATCATACTGCCGCCGCCTCTCCTTGTCGCTAAGCACCTCGTAAGCTGCAAGAGAGAGATCGCAGACGATTGTAAAAACGGTTCCCGTTAGGACTTCGTTACACGTTTGAAACTCAATATGGTCTTGCAGCGCCATCTGTTGGAGAGTTTTGCCATGAATTTAAATAAAATTGTGAAATAGTGGGTTTAACGTGTCACTACTAGATAAGCTTTGAATTAACCGTGATTAATAATGTGAGGGCCTTAGTGACGAAACAAACCAGAATAACACCACACTGCATATACTAGAATACCACATACTAATGCTGATAGGGTCTATGTCTCCCTGGGTACTGCCGGAACATACCCTGGGTACGGTCCGGTATACCAGAACGTACCCTGGTAACTATCTGATATGCTTAGGGTTAGGGTTAGGGTTAGCGAGTAGGTGTAGGCGCCTCCCTAGACTCGTTAGTGGAGTAGGCGAGGTACGGTCCGGCATATTAGATAGTACCAGGGTACGTTCCGGTATACCGGATCGTACCTAGGATACATTCCGGCAGTACCCAGGGAGACATAGACCCTGGCAGCCATACTAACATAGCAGCAATTTGAACAAGTGTTCACAGCACAGTGTAACACAATGATGAACATATACATGTTCTACTAAAATACTGTTTTATGTACATTCCTAAAGCAAAAAACCACAGTCGTGCATATTATACGAACCCTGGGCTATCTTCGTGAACTGCTCTTCGGCGTCCTCTGCCTTGTTCTTGTCCGGATGATACTTCTTGGCGAGCGTCCGAAACGCCTTCTTGACTTCGGCGTCCGAAGCCTTCCTGCCAACGCCGAGCGTGTCGTAGTGGTCCCAGGCTTTGCCGCTCGCTGCACCAACCAGGGCCAGAGAGCACGTCACCATCAGCATCGGCTGGAGCTTCATCTTCGATAGCAGAGGGTAACGCCTGTGCGAAATACGTAACATAGACACGATGTACAGATGCGTATAACACATGACAGTCTGTCACAGTCTGTCTATGACACTGTATGGACTGACTAGCTCTAGTACTATATAGCCCGCGTACAGTTGCCGCTGGCCAGTGGCAACTGTACGCGGGCTATAGTACCGGTACTACTACTAGAGCTATGGACTGACCATCGCACTTATATAAATTTTAGTAAATAGAAATAATTACCAAAAGTACATAATAGACATCTAGATATTAGTCAAATGATGTCTTACCTGACTATTTTATCGACTAGAAACCTTTAATACTTGAGAACTTTGTTGCAGAATATCTGCTACGAACTCACACAGCCAAGTGCAAATACGATTCTAGAATGCGACAACGTTTAGAAGTGCAGCGCGAAACCTTTTACTACTACTACTAGTCATTCTCTGATTGGTTGGCATCGCGTAGGAGGAAAGTGGGCGGGGCCTGTCTCCCACGATGCACTTTGGTAAACAGAAATCATGGCCGGAGATGACATGCGAATGATGTTATTGAATGATGAAGATCCGTCTGGTATGCACTGTACGCGTAGCTGCCCACACTAGCACAATACGTCTAGGAGACTTAATACTGTGTCCGTTGTATACATCCCAAGTGATACAAATTTTACGCATGCGATCAATATCATTGACCCTGTTTCTCCATACCCCATACCTAGTAACACCAACATCACACAATGACACATAGTGACATACTGACTCACTGTACTTGCTGCACTCCTACTCGTAGGCTTAATTAGCTCTAGTACTATAGCCTGCGTACAGTTGCCGCAGGCCTGCGGCAACTGTACGCAGGCTATAGTTACTAGAGTTATACATACTATAGCAATCCATTCAAAACGCAGGCTTTGAGTTTCACGTGTAACTTGTTTAAATCGAGACTTTGCTGCCTACTGACGGTGATGGGCCGTTCACGCTTACGTTACGTTACGCTTACTAACGAACCAATAAATAAATTAAGCAATAAAATTACTGGTTGGGGGAAATGCGTGTTTTTTTTGCGTAGACTCGGAGCGCACGGATGAGGACGAGGAAGCGGTGGCGCCACCTGGCGACGTCGCCGCGGCAACGAAGTCCGACCCGCCGACCATCATCAACATAACATACGACATGAACCTTCCCATGACACACAGCGTAAGTACCAACGACAACGCGAACATGGCTACGCGTAGAGATGTAAAGCAAAATGAATGCTTCTGACACATATATATACATATATATATATATATATATATATATATAT